CTATGGCGACAGTAATCAATAAAAACCCGCCAGCGGGGGGTCAGTATCAGTAAGCTAATTGTTCCTGCATTCCCTTCGGATGAGGCGGTGCAGCGCTGATTTTTTGCGGACGGCACACGGACCGCACAAACGTCTCATGCGTCACGAACGTATGACCGCACTCAATATTGGTGCACTGGTTGTATCGTTCTTTGGTCTCACTGGAAACCTGAAAGCTACTGCGTGTATGCGCGGCCTGACCGCACATCGGACAATTCATCATTTCGTTCAGCCCTCACTCTTAACCAGTTCGCAATAATGCTACATCATTGCTCTCAATTTGGAACTAATCATTCAACGTCGAACTCATCTATTTTCACTTCGAGATCCGGACTGGTCGTAAACCCGTTATCCGGGCTGACGGTATGCGTCAACGTGGTGATGGTCCACTCCGCATCATCAATGGGCTGCTTAAAGCCGCTCACCTTCACCGGCATTTCGGTGTAGAGATCGGCACGCCAAGAATGCGCGGCTTAACGCCGAGCTGGGACTGCGCAGATAACAGCGCTTTCATGCCCGTTTTTTTACCGTCAGCTGTCACGCCGCCGATAATGTTGGAGGTTGTTTCCGCTTCAGTTTCACCCTGAGCAACGCGCACAACGACGGTCACGGGTTTTGCTTGGTCGGCAATTGCATCCAGAGAGCGGGCCAGCGTGCCGGACTCGCCTGTTTTCCGCTGGCGGTCAGCACGTCGGTAAGCAGGACCGGTTTATTGAGGGGGAACACGGACGCATCTGCATCATCGCCGGTACAGACCATACTTACAATTGCCGTGCTTACTGTTGAAATAGGGCGGGTGCCATCGTTGATCTCAACGACACGCACACCGTGGTGATAATCCTGAGCCATACGGCGAACCCTCCGGTGTTTAGGTTTCGCCTTAGGATAGAGTGTATTGTTTGCAAACACATCTTTGCAAAATTGTTTTGTCGATCATACAAAAACTGAGCAGTCCGAATCATATGCTCAAGTCAAAAATATAAATCCCAGAAACGTTATATCAATTAGAGATATTTCACAGATAAATCTTGCTACATACCTCTATCGCTTGCAGTTTTCCCAAGCTGAAAAGAGATATATAAAAATACTCACAATCATCTTCACACAAACTTCACAAACATGTTAAAATACTGTACTTTATAAAAACATTAATTTCCTTGCGATAAAAAATGAACTTACACCTTATATGGTCTTTATTCTGCATACTCTCCGCATCTTTTATTTTTGGCTTACGGAAAGACAGTTTTGTGCATAACAGAAATTACAACATAGACGGATTACGCTATCTTTTAGCGGCATTTGTAGCTTTTCACCATAATAGCTACTCGGAATTTTTTTTCAAAACAGGCAATTGGAAAATAAATGATAATTCTACAGCATATATAGGTACATTCGGTGTTGCAGTTTTCTTTATGATCACTGGATATTTGTTTGGAGATATTAAATTACAATCAAATTGGAAAACGTTTTTCACAAAACGCTTCCTAAGAATATTCCCCATGTGCATTGTATCTTCAATATTTTGCATCGCTTTAGCTGCATATATAGGTAAAAACATAGCACAAACTAGCTACAGTGACATTCTCTACTGGTTTGACGGCGGCATAACAGGAATCAAACCTGCTTTATTTGGATATCAACACACCAATTTAATTAATGCTGGAGTCACATGGTCATTGTATTGGGAGTGGGCATTTTACTTTAGCCTGCCTCTTTTATCTTCATTATTCAACAAAAAGTACACGGTCGGGCTATGCATTGCTGCCATTGCATTTTTAATTAACATATTACCTACATTCAAAATCCCCACCTATAACATTTCTTTCCTTTTATTTTTTGCAACTGGAATTCTAGTAAAAAACCTTAAGCTTACTATTACAAATAGATTCAAAAAAATAAAAAACATTCTGGCTATCTTCATATTATTTTATTGTATATTTCTTTCTGGAAAGACTTCAGCCTACAACTTTTACTCTTGCATACTTATTGGCATTTTCTTTTATCTAATTACATCCGGTTCAACTCTTTTCGGGATATTAACTTCGAGAGGTTTTTTAAGACTAGGTGATGCTAGTTATAGTATTTATTTATTGCATGGAATTGGTTGGTTCATAATGAACAAATTTATATTTCACTACAACGCCCAAGATAACAAATACTTTTACTATATCATCCAGACCCTCGCTTGGTATATGATTTGTTATGTTTCATTACTAACTTATAAATACATAGAAGCTCCATTTATAGAGATCGGAAAGAGGCTTCCCTCGAATAAATGACAGTATAAACGGAGATTCATCCATTGAATAAAACGAATCTCCTTGCACCTTACTTCTCGAAGGGAAATATTGACCACAAAATATTCGGAGCAGTAGAGGCATCTAGATTAATTAGCTCATCCAGATAGTTCAGAGCCTTATTGAACATTGATATTTCTAATGCACTTAATCTTCCCAATGTAAGTTTTGAAGGCCATTAGTGATAGTTTATATATGTATTAACTTCATCAACCCATCTTTTGATTTCTACTTTTGCCGTTTCAATTTGTTCTTCGCAATTTGGTAACGGTAAATCTGCCCAACAGGGGAAACCTGAACTATCCCTACCCCTTATCTTACTATCTGGTGCCCTGCTGCTATATTCTAAAGGGAGGTTATCGCGGAGGTTTTCTGGTAACTCTACACACTTTGGATATGACCAAGCGATGGAACCCTAACAAAAGTGCTTTGATACCAACTAAAGGCTAAAGGGTCTTCGTAAAGTTACAACAAACAGTGGCGACAAAGTGGCGGCAGCGGTTGGCATTGCCCCGTAATCGCCACTCCTTACCACTAACCTAACTTATTGATTCTCTTGAAACTCATTGTTTTCACTAACCCGTTTACATAAATGGGTTTTTTGTTGCCTGAAATTCCCGTACCTCTCATCTCTGCTTCTCTCCTGCAATCAAAACATATATGATTATACATATATAAACTATTACACCTGCAGGAATTTCCATGATCCACCCGCTCCAGCTCTTCAAAACCCTCTCCGACGAAACGCGGCTCTCCATCGTCATGCTGCTCCGTGAAGCAGGAGAATTGTGCGTCTGCGATCTCTGCGCCGCGACCACCGAGTCGCAGCCGAAAGTCTCCCGTCACATGGCCTTGTTGCGCGAGTCTGGGCTGGTGATCGACCGTCGCGAGGGGAAATGGGTCCATTACCGTCTCTCTCCCAACATGCCTGCGTGGGCGGCAACCGTTATCGACAATAGCTGGAACTGCCTGCGGGAAGAGACGCGCATGAAGCTGAAAAACCGACTACCGGGCGCATGCTGATCGAAACACATTCACAAAAACAGATATAATGGAGTAAACGATGTTTCTGGCAGGGGCTATTTTTCTGTTTACGCTGGTACTGGTCATTTGGCAGCCCAAAGGGCTCAGTATCGGCTGGAGCGCCACCA